CCATGCAATGTGACTACTTCTGCCCAGCACTCCCGTGCAATGTGACTACTTCTGCCCAGCACTCCCGTGCAATGTGACTACTGCTGCCCAGCACTCCCGTGCAGTGTGACTACTGCTGCCCAGCACTCCCGTGCAGTGTGACTACTGCTGTCCAGCACTCCCGTGCAATGTGACTACTGCTGACCAGCACTCAACATCACTGAAAAAAGTTCACCATAAACATGAAAAATTTCATTATGGATGTCATAGTACAGTTTACCTTGCAATTATCTGGTTAAAAATAAATAATTTAAATGCTTGGTTGAGGTGAGAAAACAACCAATCTTTCGTATTATTTATTTCATACCCCACTTCCGATTGTGGGAAAAAATGTTATTTTATTCTTAAGCCATCAAACACTATAAAAAATATAAAAAATTAAGAGCCCGCTTATTGTTATCCAGAGAATTGTGTTTCTTGTAATGTAGCTTGGAAACTATTTACTCTCAGGGATTTTTGTAAAAAAAAAAGTCATTTCTGTGTATTAGACCATTACTATTAAAAGATAAAAATATGTTTTTGTATGAAGAATTACTTTTACTTGTGTAATGTACTAATAAACCTTATTATTATCTTCACCCATGGAAATTAGTTACTCTCAGGGATTTTGTAAAAAAAAATGTCATTTCTGTGTATTAGACCATTACTATTAATAGATAAAAATATGTTTTTTGTATGAAGAATTACTTTTACTTGTGTAATGTAGTAATAAACTTTGTTCTTATCTTCACCCATAAGTGGACAATGTCCAAGTATAAGTAGGAAATTATTTATACCATAATAAACCAGATTAATGTGTTTATCCGAGTGTGAAAAATGTCCAAGTATGATAGTAAATTAGCTGTACCATAACAAACTAAAGCCAAAGTTTATAATATCAACTATTTGGAGATTTTAGTAGTATTCGTGTATGGCTGTTTCTTGGCTCTCTATGTTACTAGGTGGTGCAGAAGTTTATCTACGATTAAGTCCCATGAACTGTAGGAAGATCTGAATAAGTAAATCGTCATCAGTGTATTTTAAATGTTTCCAAATTCCAGTTATTATGGTCTTTATGATGTCCAACTACTCTTTGTTGTTTTTTTTTGTAATATAATACAAGTGTATGATTATTTACAGATGAAAATCTGGTTTCTGTTACTTACAAATGTACCTTTATTTTTTAATCACTAGTGTGTGTTTGTAGTCATGGTGAATAAAATTGAGGGTTATGTGTAGTCATGGTGATGAGGATAGAATCGGGTAAATGTTTGTAAAGAAGCTAAGAAACTGATATTTTGTATCTGCTGGTGGTAACAGGAGATTATCTCATTTAATTTCTAGGTTAAACTTTATTATATAACTGTGTTTTGATAGTTATTTTAAAGGAAGGAAAAGAAAAAGCATGTAATTATTATTTTTGGGTTATTTTTATGGGCCGTACGTATTTAATGTATTGAACATTTGTACTTATCTATATTTAGATTTATTAAGAATAGATTAAAAAGTGATTTTTGAAAGTTGTACATTTGTTTATTTCAGTCTAATTTCTGTTGAAAATGGGATCGAGATTTCCTACTGATAAGGTAAGACGGTCCAAGTAACTATGAGATACTGTTACACAATGGTTTTTAGATATACACTAATGGAGTTGTTAGATGTCATGTTAGATACGAAGGGCTAGACTCTGGTTTTTATATTGAGATTGGTGGTTTTAGTAAACAACTTTTTGTCACTTTATGTACTTGTAGTAAAGACTTCATTGTTTGTAGTTCTAATGTTGTTTGAGAACTTTAGTAATTCTGTCTTAATTTAAAGTTAATGGCTTAAAGAGAAGTATATTTTCTTTGTTTATTTGATCAACTATAGATGAACTTGTACGATATTGTTATAAGGTTTGTTTTCTATGTTTTAATTTAGACGTTTGCTAGAAAGAGCTAGTCATTATGTCATGATCTAGAAGTTTTGTGTATAAGTAGGAAACAAGAATAATATCAATAAGTAATCAGTGGATGAGTTAAGTGCCAGTTAGACAGTGAGTTAGTTACAATTAAACGTAGCCTGTAACAAAGTGTTGAGGAAATTAATTTGTTATTCTTACGTGGACTGGTTTTTGTTTTGTCCATGTGAACCCACTCAATGATAGAACGTGTTACAAGAATGTTTGAATTCAAAACCAGTTTGACAAAAATGAAGTAGTTTTAAAATTGTGCCTAATGAACAGTGGATTACGTATAGGCAACTTTCATTATAATAAAATCAAAGAAAACTGTTTGTATGAGAAGGTAGGTTTGTCAAGAAACACTGTTGGTAATAAAAGTTGCAATAGGTTAGTTTACTTGTAGATGAATTTTTCATCATAATTGCACTGATTGTTATTAGATTCCTTAAAGTCCTTGTATAGAAAAAATAGCTGCTGTAAGCAGAGTTTATTTTTAGCAAATTTTTGTATTGTATTTTTAATGCTATATTATATATTTCAGTTTTTTTTTTTGACAAAGACTAAATCAGTTATCCAAACAGTCACTGGGACTCCAGAAGGTAGACTACTTCGTTGTATCTATTTTATGGTTTGCTCTTCTCTGAATGTAGGCAGGAATGAGTTTGTGATGCCACATGAGGATTAAGGCTTCCTACACTTCCAAGTTGCTTCTCGGTTTCTTCTCTTGCACTTTGTTACCCGTTATCTTTCAGCAGTTTTTAATAGGCTTGAGATCTGGATTGTTGTGTGGCTAACTTAGTGTGGATTGTTGCCTGCCTAACTTAGTGTTCTCTCCCTTCGAAGATAGTCCTTCATCTGAAGTACTGAAACACAATCTAAGGTGTCATTTCAATACACATAAAGTAAATGTTTCTCTTTATTTCTTGTCTACTACACAGAGTTCATGAATATAACCAATCATTTTAGTCGTCCGGGGTGGAGCAGAGTCATCCTGGAATGTGTACTGGTCAGCTACAGAAGAAACCCAATAACTGTTTCTATAATGCTTCTCTGTTTCTTTACATTTTTCTTATATAACTTATTTTTAAGATTTTAATAGTGCTGTGAGAAATAGTAAATGTGATTGTGGACCTCTAGACAGGTAGATTCAGCTCTACTGGGTGAACTGTTACATATTGTACATATGAGTGTGTTTATAGTTTTACTTGCTATTCTGTTACAGGTTGTAGGTATGTGTTACTTGCTATTCGTTCACCAATTGTTAAGATGTGTGTTTGTAATTCTACTTGTTATTCTATGACAGATTGTGAGTTTGTATTTAGGGTTTTTATTTTTTATCAGAAATTCTGAGGATATATTAAACAAAACAGCCAATGTTTGAATTTTTATAGATAAATTTGAGACTCATCCTAGTAACTGGAAAGACAAAGGAATTCATTTTCAGCCCCAATGATTCGGCTGCAGACATTGCCCAACACATTTTTGATAATTGGCCTCAAGGTAATGTAAACATATTGATGCTGTCTATGGTTTAACACAAGTAGTGGACAGTTAGAGTCTTTATTAAATGTGTGTTCATGTATTTATTAACACAAGTAGTGGACAGTTAGTCTATTAAATGTGTGTTCATGTATTTATTAACACAAGTAGTGGACAGTTAGTCTATTAAATGTGTGTTCATGTATTTATTAACACAAGTAGTGTATATTTAGACTATTAAATCTGTATGATGTATTAAAACAAGTAGTGTATATTTAGAATGTTTATTAAATCTGTATGATGTATTAAAACAAGTAGTGTATATTTAGAATGTTTATTAAATCTGTATGATGTATTAAAACAAGTAGTGTATATTTAGAATGTTTATTAAATCTGTATGATGTATTAAAACAAGTAGTGTAATTTAGAATCTTTATTAAATCTGTATGATGTATTAAAACAAGTAGTGTATATTTAGATTCTTTATTAAATCTGTATGATGTATTAAAACAAGTAGTGTATATTTAGAATGTTTATTAAATCTGTATGATGTATTAAAACAAGTAGTGTATATTTAGAATGTTTATTAAATCTGTATGATGTATTAAAACAAGTAGTGTATAGTTAGAATCTTTATCAAGTGTGTATGAGGTATTTTTAGCTCGATAGTTCATTGAGTAGGTTAACTTCAAGGTTTCAAATTAAATGTACAAGTGTAAATATATTCTGACTTTACCCAAGGTGTTGGTAAGGTGTTTCAGTACCTGCTTGGATTCAAAGAGTCATAAATATCAGTAAATCTTTTCTGCTGCAGGGTTTAATGATATTCATGCTTATATAAATGTAGATTATGATGACAATTCTATCAGTAAAATGATATCCCTGGAGGGGTGATCATATTTGTTGGAACCAGATATTTAATCAGTGACCCTCAATTCGCAAGGCAACCATGGGATCATGCCACCTCGGGGTATTATACTGTGATGGTCAATCCTATTCATTGGTAAAGAACAGTCCAGGAGTTTGTGGTGTGTATTTACAGTTGGTTTCCTTCCATCTGGTTGGTGGTGCAAAGTTAGGAACGGTGACAGATTACCTTAGTAGTTAAAAACTAAGACTCTATGTCTTAAATTAGGGTGAGCATGTTTGATGTAATGGTAACAGAAGTCATGATTCTTGAAATGTGATAACTCAGTTGCAAACGTAATCATTATCAGGATACAATAACAAAATCAATAAATTAGTATATCATTAAAAATTGTCATTCATTTTATTTAGGGTAATAAAACAAAAACATTGTGACTGATTATAAATAGGCTACGGTTGAAATATAGCTTTCATAATGCTAACAAGTAACACTTAAAGCTCACTTGCCCATTCAGACAAACTCTTAGGATTCACGTCTTGGGCAGTCAGCCTACTGTTAATGTCAAGCCCTGCCATTATATTTAGTTTGTGAGCTAGTTATTTTTCTAGGCCTTGTATATATATATATAATACTGATGGGGAAGCATGTAGATCTCAAGTTTTGTATATGAACATGTGTATAACACTGATAGAAACGTGTACCGTTCCTTATAAATTAACAAATAATTTCCAGAAACAGCGGTGTTTTATTGTTCATTCCACCTGACATATTAGTCATGCGAAGAGAAAATGATATCAATGTTTAAAAATGTATCTTACTTTTGTTTCTTTACAGAGTGGGCAGAAGAAGGTGTGTCCAAAGCAGAAATTTTACGACTTATTTATCAAGGTCGATTTTTACATGGAAATGTTACTCTGGGAGGTGAGTAACCAATCAAAAACAGCAGGTTTAAACCATTTAAATTGGATTGATCTCACAGAATGTTTTAAAACTTGATATCATTTTGTTCCTGTAAACAGCCAAGAGACTGAGCTGGAAAAGTAGTAATGACAAGGGTTAGGGATCATTTCATTCTTTGTTTCTTTCTGTTAACTTATATCAAGGTGACTGATAACAAAAAAAAAGTAGATTTAAGAAATTGAGGTAGTCAGTTGTGTGAAGTTTGTTTACAAACTAAGCAGTTCTAATTTTGTCTTGATTTTTAAATGTAACGTAGCGTGTAGAATCAGTAGAATATTAAGTTCAACTTGATATTCTAATAGTAATGTTCAGTAGAAAATGTTATCGAGCACTTATGAAATTATTAGTTCAGATTATTTCTAATTATTTAAAATAATATTTTCTTTGGATAAACCGTATGTATGCTGTGTCTGCTAGTCGCTACAATACGAGCTCGTGACTTCTTTTTTCCAGCTCTTCAGCTTCCACTAGGTAGGACTACAGTGATGCATCTTGTTCCTCGAGAAAACTTACCAGAACCAAATTCCCAAGGTACATAAAAATATTTAAAATGAGGATAAAGCACAAAAATTAAAAAATTTTCAAATGTTATTATGCTGTAATTATTTACTGTTTCATTAAATCGTATATCAATGAAGAAAAAAAAAAAGATAAAAGCTATTGTCATATTTGATCTTGTTTATTTTAGCATATTAAAAGTTGTTAACTGTAGCTTTTTTGAACTGTAGGTTTATTAAGTTATGAATACGGTTGAGAACTTAAACTTGGTTTCTGTTTTGATTTAATTTCAAAATAAGATGACGTTTACCTGTAAAATGATGCTGACAAACTATTTAATGTTATTTAACATGTTGCTTGTCATAAGGAACACTGTTAGCCATAGTGAGATAAGCTGTCTTAACTAGAAGTTGACAGAAACCTTTCTGGATTATTGTATTCCACTTCAAAAGGCTCCTTTAATTTTTGCTTCTCATTTCAGGTATTTAAAACACTTGAATTGTTATTTGTATTTATTAAAAGAAAAATAACCCATGTAAAATTTACAATTCTTTGATTATTTTCTACATATTGTGTGGTTAGTTAAATTTATTTCTTTTTATTGAATCTTTGCTAATTAAAAAGTTATTCAAGCAGATATTGTAGTACATCTTAGATATTGATGTACACATTATTTTCAGATCAAAGACAAAAGAGTAAAGAAAGAAACAGTGGATGCTGCAGTGGTACATGCTCAATATTATGAAGAGAAGAAAGTCGAACATCTTCATTAGGAACCACTGATGATGATGATGTATTTTAGTATATTTACAAACAGCATGGGTGTTGTGAATTTAGTGAGAGCAGCTAACATATCAGGACTGCTGCTGTGTAAAACTGTCACTAGGATGAATGTGATGTTTAGATTCTCCCATGAACACGTATTCTGCTATGGAGACTAGTATTGTGTGTGATTGTGCTATCAACTTATGTCGTTTGATATAGTGCCATCACGACAGACTGAGTCAAACTGTGCCATTAGGACATGCCGTATGAGATTAGACTGTCAAGAAGCGGTGTGTTAAACTGTGTCATCAAAATATGGCACATGAGATTATGCCATCCAGTCATGCTGTGTTAGGTTGTCGTCAAGACTGATGTTGTGTTAGTGATAAGACTGATGGCGTGTGAGTTTGTGCCATCAAGAATGGTGCCATGTGAGATTGTGTCATCACGACTGCTGTCATAGGAGAGTTTGTCTTGAAGGCTAGTGCCACGTGAGATTGTCTTCAAGACTGCTGTCATAGGAGAGTTTGTCTTGAAGGCTAGTGCCACGTGAGATTGTCTTCAAGACTGATGCCACGTAAGATTGTTTCTGCAAGACTGGTGCCACGTGAGATTGTTTCATCAAGACTGCCGTCACGGGAGAGTTTGTCATCAAGACTGGTGCCACGTGAGATTGTGTCATCAAGATTGGTGTCATGGGAGAGTTTGTCATCAAGACTGGTGCCACGTGAGATTGTTTCTTCAAGACTGCTGTCATGGGAGAGTTTGTCTTGAAGACTGGTGCCACATGAGATTGGTGTCATGGAAGATCCCTCTCACATGGTAATTGGAAATGGGATTTTCCTGTTTTACCAACTTACAGCATGGAGCTTGTACATGTACTTCAGCTCCAGATTTAATACTCCTCAAACCTTTCATTGTAGTATGTTTTGTGGGAAGGTTCTCATGTCACTATAGGTGTAGAAAGTTGTCATTCCAGACTGGTTATCTACCTTCTTAACTAATAGATAATTTTCTGTTTATTTACTGGTATTGTGTGGCAGTAGATGTATTTTAAAGCAAAGCATACAAAAGTAGCACATTTTCATTGTATCTTTTGTAGATTGTGGAAAAGCCGAGGCGATAGATTTGTGTTGATTGAGTCAATAAGAGATGGATAGTTATGTTATGTGAAAAATCTTCCACCTGGAAGAAATTTACAGCATGTACATGAGAAAATGAATAGTCGTAAAGTTTTAGATTTGTTTTTGTAAATTGTGGTAATATGTTTGAAGTTTCTTGTATAGCAGAAAAAAAACAACAAATGGCCGGCCTCGGTGTTTAATAATTTCATTCCATTTTTTTAAAGTGAAATCTAGATTTTGATAGCGATATGCAAGTTTTCTTGTGGAACAACAGGTTGAAGTTTATTGTGTAAGGGAACAAAGTGTAAAGCACATTGTTAAGTATGACATTTATTCTTGCTTGTTTGTTTTAATTCTGCTGCATAGAAATCTCATGTAAATATGTGTTGTTATATATAAAGAAATGTAATAAAGAGATGAGCAGTTTGGACAGAATTGTAATAATTTCTTCAGGAAATCACTAGAAATTAACCACCGGTAAATGGACCTGTCAAGTTTAATAAATGATTATTTACAAAGTCCGGGTTTAGAAACATCAAGGTGAGTATTTATTTCTATTGACGTGAGATAGATATTCTTTAGAGAACTATAAAACATTCAAGAAGGGTTTTCCAAAAGTTTAAAAGATATAAAAATAATGAGAAAATGGTTGTTGGGTGTAAAAGTCAACTTAATACAAATTTGTATGATACACATTGTACACCAACATATTAAAGATTGTGTCACTATTACAGACGTAGGTCATCCACAAACAATTGTTAACCAACAAAACTTCAGTATTTATGTACAAGCCAGGTATGCAAAGGTCAGGGGAAAAAGACATTCAGGAAAATTTTATATATGTACATGAAAGATGGTAAAAACACTATGTTCATGAATGCAAAGATGAGTTTTTAATAATAAAACATTATGTAACAATATAGTCTATAATTACTTAAACTTTCATCTAATGTGAGTATTATGTATTGTGGAGAAGGTGATAAAAACCAGTAACATATTGTTACTTAGTAATAAACAAGTACTTGGATGATCTGTTGATTGTTAACTGATGATAATTAAATGTGTAGGTGATCTGTTGATTGTTAACTGAATCACCCATACATTTAATTACCACTGTTGATTGTTAACTAATGGTAATTAAATGTATGGGTGATCTGTTGATTGTTAACTAATGGTAATTAAATGTATGGGTGATCTGTTGATTATTAACTAATGATAATTAAATGTATGGGTGATCTGTTGATTGTTAACTAATGGTAATTAAATGTATGGGTGATCTGTTGATTGTTAACTAATGGTAATTAAATGTATGGGTGATTGTTAACTAATGATAATTAAATGTATGAGTGATTTGTTGATTGTTAACTGATGGTAATTAAATGTATGAGTGATCTATTAGTTAACAATGTTCACTATCAACAGATTACCTACACATTTAATTACCATTAGTTAACAATCAACACACATTTAATTACCATTAGTTAACAATCGACATACATTTAATTACCGTTAGTTAACAATCAACAGATCACCCATACATTTAATTACCATTAGTTAACAATCAACAGATCACCCACACATTTAATTACCATTAGTTAACAATCAACACACATTTAATTATCATTAGTTAACAATCAACACACATTTAATTACCATTAGTTAACAATCAACAGATCACCTACACATTTAATTACCGTTAGTTAACAATCAAGAGATTACCTACACATTTAATTATCATTAGTTAACAATCAACAGATCACCTACACATTTAATTATCATTAGTTAACAATCAACATATCACCCATACATTTAATTACCATCAGTTAACAATCAACAAATCACCCATACATTTAATTACCATCAGTTAACAATCAACAATAAGACAATAATTTAATGGTTATAAATAGTAAGTACTATTAACAAATGTAATAAAGTTTAAATTTTATAAAGTTTGAATGCTACTAGAAGTTTTAAAACAAGAAAGTCAAGACCTCAAAAACGGGAGTTTCTTAAAATCACTGTAGTTATGTTAGACTGAGCCGAAGTAGGGATAACATTTTTTTGAAATTTTAAATCAGTTTTTGTAGTTTTGCCTTTCTTGTGTTAATACTTTTTGTAGCATTAAAACTTCCTATATTACGATAGCTGGCTAGGTTAAGTATAAATCAATCCCTACTTGTCTTTATAGATTTAAAAAAAAAATTATTATACTAGCTTGTTTCCTTTTTATTAGCTATACTTTTGTGCGCCAGCAGAACCAAGCGTGGGGCGCGCATAAACTAGATTCGATTTTATTACTCATCAAGATTTCTACCAACCTACCCTCAAATCTAAGAATATGTCCAAAGTAGCGCATTGCCCGTTACATATATATAACTAATATCCTTTTCGATGCAAAAAAGGAATCATTGGGACCATAGACGGAAAAATTCTGTACATTTGTCTAGAAAAGTCACTTGCATACTTATATAAACACGTATATAGCGATTTAGGCGGCTTTATAAGTACAATAGCTTTAATTTTGCTTAGCCAATATTGTGAAATGATAATTATTAATATTCAGATAATATATTTTAAAGGTGGTTTTAATAAAAACGAGCGATGTTTATGACCGACATTTTGTTTCATCACAATCACTACTATTAAGTATTACCGTATTTAATTATAATAATGGAATAATTTAATGGCGAATATTGTTAAGTAATTAAACAATTTATGCTGGGTTGAACAGCTAACAGTAAATATAAATAGTTCTTTACAACTATGATTATTTGTAAAATTGTTATAATAATTAACTGTTAGTCTACGATAATAGTTCGTTTGTATAATAATAAGAGGTAAATATTTACTTTTTGTGTTATATGTAACTATTACGTATTACAAGAATAGTCAACGTGACTATTATTTAATGTAACATGACATTGTCCAACAGATGGCAGCACGTCCAATGTGTTTTCATCTTAAGATACGGTTGATGAATTATTAAATTCAAATATGGCCGAAGTTTGAATTTAATTAATATAGAAGGTGTTAACGGATATGTTTTTTCTTTTTTATAAGTTTATTTTATACAAAAAAAAATTTTTAAGTGTCGTGTTAAAGGTTATGAGAAGAAATAGTAACTTCATTTATTTAAATTATGTACAGATTTATTCTCGACGTGATTTTTACGTTTTCGTGTATCTTTTGTACGTGTTGAAAGTAGGACAAAAACAACTGACTTTAAGTTAGTCATTCAACGTGTTCCTCTTTAAAAATACGTTTTGTTTCTTTTGAATTACGCTGCGCTTATCGTCCCTAATTTACAAGTGATTAACTAGATAACTGAACTTCCAAGTATTTTTTTCTTAATTTTTTCTCCATCTATTGAGAGATAACTGAACTTCCAATTATTTTAAACCATCTATTGAGATAACTGAATTTCCAAGGATGTTTCTAATTTTTCTCAATCTATTGATAGATAACTGAACTTCCAAGATTTTTCTAATTTTTTCTCCATCTATTGAGAGATAACTGAACTTCCAAGTGTGTTTTCTTAATTGTTTCTCCATCTATTGAGTGATAACTGAACTTCCTAAGTATTTTTTC